ATGTCACCCATTGTTGTTCGTAGCCTTGTCTTTGTTCTCTTCATTGCTGAAAACGATCGTTCAGTTGAGGCCGTGATACAAACCAAGCAAACCAATCGAAACAAAGTAGGAAAGGACTCACTCATATCGTTTTCGACAAGATTTACACTTAGTTGGTGCGTACTCTTTAAGTTTCGAAACTTGCAACCAACTTTTGCGATCGCGCCGAATCTTGTAGCTTCAGTTTGTAAGATATCCGTTTTGCCGTCAAAGTCAACTGGGTAGAAACGAGACGCAAGTTGCACTATATTCTCTACATTCCAGCTTTTGAAATTGTTTCTTGGATTTAAGGATCCGCTTAACTCCAAAAGGTTCAACATATCTCCATTAAATCGAAAGTTAAACTCGTCAGCAATATCATTCACGACGGTCAAATACACACTTTCACGGTAATGCTCTTCTTGAGTCGGATTTAGAACGCCCTGACCAGAATCTGCTCCAGGTACTCCAACTTTTCCACGTCCACGACTCCTAATGCCACGTCGATCCCACTAGTCGGTCCTTTTTGGAATTGTAGGAACTCTTTATGCCTGAATATCCTCATAAAAAGTTACAGCTGCATTCCAAATAGACTCAAAGCTGTTATGGTCTGTCTATGGTAATTTGCCGTCCCGCATTAGTTCAAATTCTTGGGTAATAAGTTTTATCATGTTCACAGCCGAAACGATATCAATATTTTCCTTTTCGAGATACTGTGAAAGCTGGTTGGTCTTACCAAGAATGATGACGAGAAGTTCAAGGTGGAAAACAAAATTAAAAGTCCTCATTTTGTCGGAAATACCAGGTGCCTCTGCTCGCTTCAGTGGATTCGTAGCTTCAGATGCCACGCGATCTAGCACAGTAGTAGTTGGTGTCCACAACAATGTTATTTTCCGCAAAGAACGAACGCGGCAATTCCAGCGGGTTTTGCTAAGACCTTCCGTACAAACCGGTTGATTTAATCCAGAACCAGATTTTATTTCTTGTCCGTCCAGGAGATTGGCTAATTCTGCTGCAGATTCATCGCAGAGATAATCTTTCCGTTTGCAAGACGCGCTCACTGTATTATGCACCCCTTGAACAGTATCAAAACATTCGACCACTGAAGTAGTATTCATAGCCACAGCAACGATGGCGAGATTAAGCCTATGGGCAAAGCAATGAACAAAATAGGCGTAGGGGCAATGAGCACGCATTCGACTTTGAAGACCGTTATAATCGTCTGCCATATTAGCGGCTCCACCGTATCCCTGACCGCGACATTTCGCTAGTTGTAGCCCCCATAATTCCAATTGAGATGTCAACGCGTCGAATAGTGTTGCTGCATTTGTGTCGCGGATGTGAACTACACCAAGGAACATCTCCTTTATAGTACCAGTTGAATTCTTTACGAAGCGAATCACGATTCCCATGTACTCGTTTTTTGCAGCACAACTCACCTCGTCAATAAGAACAGAGTAATATCCGTCCGCCAGCTCGTTTGATACGATGCTTTTCTGATAGTATCTGCTGAACACTTAACTAGATCATACTGAATCTGGGGTGATATGTACTGAGCATTTTTGCCTGCCAAATCATCAACCGAGAAAATTCCGGCACGCGTTCACTTAAAAATTGCACAACCTTGATAAATTCCCTTTGTTTGTTCACGAGCAATTGATAATACTTGTACAGTCATATAACTAGATACTTTCTCGTCGTTTCCGCAAAAAAGCTATTTCTTGCTTAGCCAACAAAAGACAAATGTCAATGATAAATGTGATCTGGGCTCTGTTTTGTGCTCGATCGTTGTTAGACTGTGTTTGTAGAGCGATAGATACATCATGTTCCAGGGTCATTCGCGTTGAATATTCTAGCTCAGTCGAGTTGTGCCTAGAAATTGTCTGACCAATGTGTTTTCGAAAGCCATCGTTATGGTTATTGCTTTTTTCCAGTTTCTATATCCGACACCAGGCTGTGCATATACGGAGAGCTCACTTTCCTTCATCTTTACATCTCTCGAGAGATAGCAGCATAAACGGTAGACAGAATCCGATGTAGAAGAGTACTCCAACGAATGATGCCTATCATACCAGTCTGCTCGAAATGATCGCAGAACGCCTCCTACCAAACGCGAGCGAAATGTGATTTCTCGCGGTTGATACGGTCCCATGCTAACGTAAGATTGAATCACTTCACGTAAAAGAGTCGGTCTTTCTAGTAATTGTTTAACGAGGAACAAATTAGGTGGTCGTTGAGCAGGGTCGCGCTTGACGAAGTCCACTGCTCTGCAATCAACACTTTTCTCCGGTACACTGCTTGGAACACCATTCCACATCAGTTTTATTCCGTCGACTCTGAAAGGGGATAGGTAAAGGGACCGGCACTGACTCACGGTTGCTTAAGGCGCGGGAAGAACGGGATTTCTTGGCGTAGTAGTCAGTGATAGATGACTGGGTCCGTTTGCCAGACAAGTTCTACAATCGATAAAGTCAATTATCAAAAAATTGAAACCACTCGGAGGGGCACCTGCCCCCAATTAGACCTTAGCTACACCCCTGCATAGTTTAATTCTGAACCTTACAGATAGATTTGACCCTCTCCCTTCTATCGGAGGAATTAGCCTCGCCTGATACATGTGCTTAAAGACCTATATTGTTGTTATTGGTATGTCTACGGAATTTGTGCAAATAATATCGATAGAGAGCTTCATTTAGTTTCGGGTTACCCTTACTGAGACTGTTTTATGGTAACGCGTATTCATAATAGTATGCACTATTTTAAAGTGTCGTATTCTGAAACATATCTGTCAACGATTAGAGTTTAACGAAGCGAAAATATCAATATGCATGTCTTTCAAACGCATCTGGTGTTTGTCTAGCTCAGTGTTATTTTAAAATTTACTTTAAAAAAAGTAAAGACGTTTCTAGCCATTTTGTTTCCCTTTTAGCGCCCTGCTGGTTCATCAACAGAAATTTTACGATTACATAACTAATTTGTATACTAATGCTGGTCAATTCTACCCATGCATCGTACTTTCGAAAGTACTAAGGTATTTTATGGGCTAGTTTGGGCTAGCATCCGAAACAACTATCAATACATAGAGATAAGAAAAATAGGGTCTCATCTAACGATAAAGTTTTCCTCTTTGTGGTGATGTGGATCAAAAGTTCCACGTGAATAAGACTGAGTGATTGACAGAAAGGCAACAGGGAGGTTATCCGGAACAATGTCTACATATCCGGATCGGGATGAACCGGATCCTGCATGGGATCAATGGTTAGGGGTAGCCCTAGATGCACACGAATATGTGTCTGGGAGGTATGGACATCCGGAATGGGAAGGCCCGGATCCGCAGGTGGGGGAACGTTTGTGAGTACCCGTAAAGTTGATGAATACGCGGAGCCGGATTCGCAGTGAAACATCAGAATCACGCCGGATCCTGAGCACATATATATTAGGAACCTCTGGAGATTACAGATCACGAGGCTTTGGTGACGTTCAGGAAGGTCAAGCGTGGATCCGGATCCTGCGGGTCCAACTGTCGAATGTTGCCATCAGATGATTACGCGCAGATCCTGAGATATACCAGAAGCAATAATCAGACATGCGGATCCTGTGTTGTAGAGGTACGACAGGCTATGATATAGGACTTAGGAATAACAGAGAATCGAATTTGCATCATTGGGCACAAGTGGTTGGTTTCTTTATTTGATCCACACTTAGTGTATTACTGACACTTCGGATCTGGATATTACATCGTTATATCTATCCCACAAAGCAATCCGCGTGTTAAGAGTATAGGATCTAGCGTTAGTTTGGATAACTGGACAATATATTGGCCATATCCGACTACCTAGTGACTTACTTTATACGTGCAAACAACGGATCTTCGACATTTATTGCTTGGTCGTCGATCCTTCGATTTCTCCGCAACAACTCATGATCCAGTCATTGGTGACTGCAAGCAAGTAAAGGGATCTCAGGTTCACGAACAACAAAGGCCTCAAGGACAACACACCAAGGCAACCCAACACGGCCCGGATCAAGACCTGCCCTCAAATATTCGTGCAGACCCAAGATCCCCACTACCGACAGCACTGCGTCCCGCCAAGACACTCAACCTTCATTCACGTGGACAATCTCCTGCTGTTACCGGAGGAGCAAGATCCAGCTCTACCGACGGGTACACAAGGTGGGGAAGTTCAGCTGATCACGGATCAACAGGAGTACCCCCTACTTTAGTTGGTGTTCTGGGCACAGTGGCAAGCCGGATCCAGCATCTTCGCATATTTTGCTGATCCCGCTCCACCACAATGGTGCGCGTGCCCAGATTCGAACCAGGGATTTCACCGTGAGTCTGAAGAAGATGTTCAAGTGAAGATTGAGCAAGGGAACGAGTTGTCGTCGGATCCCAGATCGACGACGACATCGCTGAACGCTAGATCCGCGGATCGGTAGAGTGCCCGGAGGAACTCTGTCGACGGAAATGAGGACGATCTGGATCCCGATCCAGATCTGAAAGAGAAACCTCACCCTCCACAGGTCTCCGACATGGAGATCCCGGCGGATCCTGACTCGCGCCAAGATCCTACAAACAAAGGTGAAGGCTGAACCGTATTCATTTATTGATCCGGATAAGCCGACACTATATATGCCCAAGTATCCGCAAGTCTTGAGATCCGAAGTCGGAAAGCCGAGATCCACACGTCTATGTCACATAAAAGGTCGAGGATCCGGCAGCTGTTCCTGAAGATCAACCTGACACATCGGGCCTGGATCTCACTTGGGACTCGGATCAGGATTACGACGAATGCGTATATTATCACGAAGGCAGTGATCTCTATGCCGAAGTTGTCGACTGACAACTAGCGGTACTACCCGAAGTCCCAGTAACGACGGAAAATGTGAGGATTGAGGATATCCAATTATGAGGATCCGACAATCAGACGCCGGAAGAAATCGACCGACTCCGCCACCGGACCTGGAAGTTTCGACATCTTATGATCGGCAAAGGAAATATGCTCCCACCAGCAGCCCGAGGGGTAGTGTGTGATATTGATGTGGGAGGAGCTTGGTCGATCACGCTTAAGTGTCGTATGCTGCGGATCCAGTTGCGAGAGAAATTGGTAGAGTTGATCAAAGGTCCCCTGTCAGCTAAGATGATCAACCACTCAAGATCTCCATGCGCATCGCCAATCGTCGTGATCATCAAGAAGAATGGTGTGGATATGCGATTGTGCATTGATTATCGGTTGGTTAAGAGTCTGACACAGCTGATGGTTTACCCGATGCTCTGATCAACGATCTACTGGAGGATCTCCAGTCTACACTGTGGTATTGCTCACTCGACATGGAGTGGGTTTTGAGTGGTGAAGATGACGGATCAGACCCGCCTGATCTCGGCCTTTATTACCCCATTTGGACTTTTCGAGTGGAATCGGATGCCTTTTGGGCTGAAGAATGCGCTGCAGATCTACCAGCGGACGATCGACAACGCCCTGTATGGGTTCACTCGGATCCCGAAAAAGCGGGAGATCTGGAGCGTCTGGATGTATTCGAGGCCGGAGAACCTGAAGATCCGAGCAAACCATCGGTGTTAGGACGCAGATCCTATATCGACGACATCTTAGTACCAGCGGATAATTGGGACGAGCTATGTGACCGAGTCGAAGATCTTCTGGAGGTGAGTGACAAATGGAACTTGTCGATCAGCGTTATCAAGAGTTTCTGGGGGTATGCCCAAGGTGGAATATCTCGGTCACAAGGTTTTGCACGATGGACTGGAGGCGAATCCGAAGGATCTGTCGGCGTTGATGGATCTCGAGTTTCCCGGATCCCTGCGTGCCATGCAACTTTGTCGGAGTTGGAGCCTGCTGACGCAGAATCTTGGGCGAGACGGAGCTGGTATAGTTCATTCGTAGTCCTTGGCTTCGAAGTGGAGGGAGGTCCTGGAATTGACAGCAGATTTCTGGCCCGCTCGATCTTCGGGAGCAGACGTTAAGAAACGAACGCCTCTGGTACGTATTCCAGACGCGCAGTTTCACTCGCAGCATCTGCCCAGAGCGTACGCGCAGGTTCTCGTTTGTCCAGCTCCAGGAGTTCTGCGCGCAAGTCGGCAACCCCAGACACGGTTCTGAAGTTCACTGAGGGATCCTTGAAGATCCAGTAGCAAATAGTGTTAGGAAGAATCTACAAGCCAGGTTCGTACTAAAGCGTCTTGGGGAACTTGTCGAACTTCTCCAAACGCTGTACCAGACTGAGAAAATTCCGGACCAGTGTCTCCCGACACTTGCGACGCAACAGGTGGAGTTCCTTCGCTCGTTCGTCCTCCATGGAGATCGTGAACCAGTATAATATGTACCACCAACCTTCAGCATGTTCTTCCATGGACTCCATGTATTCTTTTATCTCACGCAAGACTCCTTTGCTCAGGTCACGAACATGGTGGAAGTAGAACTCTTTGGAGCGGTCTTCAAACATTTGGACCCAGGGGAGTATAAAGTCGAGAACTTTCGAATCCCACGCACTTGGGTCTGAACCCGAACCGTACGCACCTGCCTCAGAGAAGTTGCGCCTTGACGTGGTCCCACGGTGTCCCTTACTTCCAGACTTCTTCAGTCGAACGATGCCGAAGAACTCATCCCATGCCTCCATAGACCAACTATCCTTGAGATACTTGGTCTCATGTTTGTATGGCTCGTAGGTTGGGAAGCCGAGAGTCTGAATCTTATCAGAGAAGTTCATTTTGATCCCGAAGATTCGGAATGTGCTGGTAACGTCCCGGTCGCAGACTTCGATGATCAGCAGCTCGTCTTCATTCAGGGACTGGAAGTCGCGAATGGCCAAGTCTGTAGAATGACGCGCCCCTTTGGCGCGACCGGGGTTTGTCTTGATTATCTTGATAACCTTGGTGTCTGTAGTTCTGAATGTCGCCTTGGGCTTCTTGGCAGAGGTCGGCGAGACGAGGGGCGTCGCGTTCCAGAACTCACTTGACTGGTGGTTTTAGGACCAGCATCATCAGTGTTTGCAGGCACCTCGACTGCGCCATCATCCAGATCTTCAGTCTCGTCCCGAGCCTGTAGAGCGTTGTCAGCCTACTCAGCACCTGGTTTCAGAGAAAAAGAAGGGTCCTAAGTCTCACCATCTGATGACTCGGAGGGGGCGCCATTAAGCATTTCAACCTCCGCGGCCACATCTTGAAGCTTCCGGTCGCACGTATCCAGCGAAGGCCATTTCTCTAGCCCGCGACCATCCACGATTCTAATCCCGGTCCAGATTCTCTCTGTATCCAGATAGTTTGACTCGGGCACATATTTTCTCCAGGGTGTGACATCCAAGGTTCCCCAGTCAATCATCTGAGCCAACATCAACTGCACCATATATCCAGGCAGGAGGTGGTGGATAGGTTCGTCTTCACGCAACTGTTTTAGGGCCTCCTCGTACGTTAGACCTGTGAGCATCAACATACGGACGTCTTGCCGAAGGTCGTCCCAGAGTAGACCGTCCGGGACTAGCTTCTGTGCGTCGGCCTCCATCGCTGAATCCAAGTCCGTGTCAGGACCGCAAGGGAGATCGTCTCGCGGGCAGTGCTCCTTGGGGCGCATCTGCCTCCGTGATTTCGAACTCCAACTTGCGGGTGCTGCCCGCGCTACCAGAGTTGGGTTGCTGAGACGCCTTACGCTTAGTCCCAGACGTTGATCGCGTTCTGGAAGGTCGCGACGTTGTGCTGGAAGGCCTCGACCTCCCGCTACCTGTCAGGTCCAGAACTCTAGCTGGCTTTGAAGTTGACGATCTATGTCCAGACCCGCCACCACCACGAGGATTCCTCGGACGCGGGTCAGGTTTCACGTAGTCTGGAGGCATGTATCGTACGTTGTCCATGGTAGTCACGTTGATCTCAGTGTTCGAAGTAGTGGGAGGCGTGGTGCCCTCGGCGTAATACCGGAAGATGTCTCTGGATATGACCGTGACTCCACTTTCATCCCGCATTAAGAAATCTAGTATGTCATCCGTATCCAACACGTTATCGTCCGCACGACGTTCCGCGGCATCCTGGGCGTCTTGTGCAATCCACAGCTCTGCTCGTAGCCGAGTGTTCTCTTCTTGCAGCGTCTGGGCCTTGCACTTCAGACCCTCCTCCACGTTGCGGAAACAAAGAGCCCGGGCCGTCATCGTCGTAGAACTCTGACGCTCAACATCCTGGACATGGCGGTACCAATACTGGCACATAGCCGTCCACTCACGTTCCAAAGCGTGATTGGTGTCTTGGAGCCAGAGTGCGTGATCTTAGGCCTTATTGGTGTCTAGTCATTGAATGTGGTCTTGAAGGTCTCGAATCTTGACGAGATGGCGCCTTAAGAACGACATGGTGTTGTAGACGCGCTCCGCAAGACGTTCTGTAGAGAAGTGGGCCAAAATCGAAGCGATCTCCCGCTGGACGAGAGAGGAGCAAGTTTCAGTGTCCCGTTCCTGGGCCGTTGGAGCGTAATTGCGCAGCTGAAGCAGAATATCCCGCCCCAGTAGCCCTTCCAGGTCCGCGAGATCCTCCGAGCTCAAACTCTCAAATAAGAGAGGAGCTTCTAGGCCGCCGCACCCGTCGTATACCTTTGGCCCGCGATGCAGGGAGGTTTCCGTGGCTGGGACGCCGACGATGTGCCTCTCGGTCACCGAATCAATGCTGGGTGGGACGTCCCAGCTCACAGGAACGACTGGTACCCCATGGAGAGCGAAGTCGTAGACGAGGGGATAATCCCCGGCAGGCAGATCTGGTTGGATTCCGCAATGGAGAGGAAGTGTGCTCCACCCAGTACTACGCTCGGCGCTGGCTGCGATAATATCGAAGGGCTCCTAGAGCCGTGTTTGTCGGCGGCGTCCCCGGCCTTGTTAGCTGGAAGTGGCTTCCCAGCGCTCTCTTCCTCCGCGTCTTCACCCTCCTCAACCGCGGGTAAATAGGCAGATCCTGTCGGATTCTGCAATGAAGTGGAAATGTGCTCCACCCAGCACTACACTCGGCGCTGTCTGCGACGATATCGAAGGCCTCCTAGAGCCATGTTTGTTGTCGGCGTCCCCGGCTTTGTCAGCTGGAAATGGCTTCCCAGCGCTCTCTTCCTCCGCGTTTTCCTCCTCCTCGACCGCGGGCAAATCTTTCTCCGCGTCGTTGGAGTCGCCCGCGTCATCGTTGCCACCGTCGCCAGGAATGCCGGAGCCGTCTGGCGCGTCTTGCGCGTTTGCGTCGGTGTTCTGAGGGGCGCTACCATGGTCGGTCGCTGCTGCATCCGACCCCGGACCGCCAGAAGCGTCCGAAGTGTGCGCGCCGTCGCCGATAGGTGGTGGCGCTAACGTCGCGATGGCCATCTTATTCAATAGTTGGAATCGGCGATTGTTTGATTCGGAAACGTCAGATTCTTGATGGGTGCCTCGCACTAAGGGCGATTGTCGATCGCCGTTCCGGAGTTGCGTCAGGCTCAAAGCGACAGGAAGCAGAAACGATGTGAGACGAGGCGGACATACCGATCCAGAGTGTCTAGTTTCAGACACTGGGGTTCGCAGTCTACTCTGAAACCGTGATACCTCGTGGTCCCGGACATGGCTTGTCACCGTAGAAAATTCTACAATAACCAGTCTTGGCCAGTAGCGGCGGTTGTGATGAGGCAGTTTCCCAGTTCTCAGGATAGCTTGATTTTGGGGTGCAACAATGGAGATCCAGAGATCTTGATTGGTGGTGGTGGAGCAGACGGTGTGACAATTGTGGAAAGAAAAAGTTGGCTGTGAGTGGTGAGTGTGTGGAGAGCCAAGGATGGGTCCTTAGGTTCCGGAAGCATGCGTTTCAGTGATGTACACTCTGGAACGCAAATGTGCTCGGTCCGGAACCGCCCCCGTCCTGAACATAGGTTGCCAAGAAGAAGCTTAAATTGTCTGCGTGAACGTATCGCGGCCGATAACCTCTATTGCCTTGGTTCAAGGCACCAAATATCATTACCTCAGACTGCAACAACCCAATACACCAAAAGACACCCCAAGAAAGTCAAGAACTACATCGTGTGGATTATCCAGTGTCCAGGAGTACTGTGTGAACATGTTACGACTACGATGGAATGCGAATGGACCTAGAAACCAACGATCTTGAACTGCAATAGTCTGAAACGAGCCTCATTCCAGAGAATTTGGGTCTCGTTCCAGACATCCCAAGCTTGGTTTCAGAGATTATCGATTACCAAGAGCATTACCAAGTTATCAAGACACTAGAACAACAAACCTAGATGTCCTACGACTGTGAGTGGTATGTGAGACCAAGAATCCTGTGGAGAGAAGACCAATTTCAGAGTAGAAGAGACGATCTGAAGGCGTGGAGGTCCAAGGTTGACGACAGCGAAGTGCACCCCCTATACAAAGACAAAGTGAATTCCCCCAAAAGTACACAAAACGCAAGATATTACCAGAATGATTGAGAAAGAAGATAGCCGAAGTATAAGAGTGATAAACAGAGTTAGTTTTACCGAGTTAAGCGCAAGTCGAATTCGTTCGGGGACCCGCTAGCGAGGGCGCGTGCTGAAGGACGCCGCGTATTTCCTCAGAAGTTTCAAGTCCAAATTGCCTGTGCGGATCGGACGCGACGGCGTTGCAGAGTTGATCCACGGCATTCCATTTCCCAGTTGGGCCCACTGGGTGAAGGTAAGGGGGGGCCATTTCATGTTAACGATTCTGCTTGAAGGGTTTAGTAGTCCCTTGCAAGTTTATAAGTAGACTGCATTTCTGAGATTTAATAGTATTGTATCTCTCCTAGAGGGTGATGCGCGTAAAGGAAGGAGTGCGCATCAGACTGACGAGTGTCTAAAGCGTATACTCAGTTGACTAGTGATAGACCCCCCGTTCAAGGGTCTCAAAGAATAAGTAACGGCTGTATATTTGTATATTTTACTCT